TTCGCCTTCTGCCGCCGGCTACAGGAGAAACAGGAGACCTTTTGCTCCGGGAGCCGGCAGACGGGGGTCAGGGCAAACGGTGGTCCGCCAGAGCTCCGGCTCTTGCAGGATCTTGCAGCGCCAGGGTCGGGACGATCGAAACGGGTACGGAAATCATGGGTACAATGCCAGCTTGTCCTGCTCATTTTCAACAGGACTCGCTGTCCGCGCCGCCGCGGACGTTGCTCTTTGAAGACGCAAGGCCGCCTGCCCAAAAGCGGCCGCTGTCGGTTTTGGAACAATTGTTGTTGGGCATTGTACCAGTTTTTTCCGTACCCATTTTCGGGACCCCAAGTGGTTCAAGGGTTAAGTCGGGCTTGTCCCTCTACAGGACGAATGTTCAAAAACAGTCACAAAATAGTATGGGGACGATTTTTGAGCGTTTTTGATAATTTTTGTGTATTTTTCCCCACGTCCAAAGTGGGATTCTTGTTTTCTCTAGGCACCCCGCGCAGGAACAAGACAACACCCACACACATACACACTCATACACTCACACATTCACTCACCCACACACACACACACTCACTCACCCACCCACTCACTCACCCACACACACACTCATCATCATCACTCACTCACGCACTCACTCACTCACCCACCTACCCGCCCACTCACTCACTCACACATCATCATCATCATCATCATCATCATTATCATCATCAACATCATCATCGTCATTATCATCACCACCACCATCATCGTCATCATCATCATCATCATTATCGCCATCGTCATCATCTTTATCATCATCACCTTCACTCACTCACTCACTCATTCACTCACTCATCTCAGGCGAGCTTCGGCTGTGAGTGAATCGCGAGTAAGTCTCAGGCGGCAGCCCCCTCCCTGTGGGGCCCGCAGCTCATGTTCCTAATCCGAGCGGGTCATCGGAATCATGTAAGTGTCGTCACTTTTGGGTTCTTCATGTGAATAGAACCCGTGTAATACCCTCATATATACTCCTTATCCTCACCTCTCCTGCGCCTGGCCGTTTGGGCTCAGGTATTGGGACAGATCGATCAGACCTTTGATCGTGCAGGAGGGAAAGACATCCATCTATCCCTCCTTCCTTACCAACGGATTAAGGGGTTCAGGTTAAAAATAACAAGAATCGCTCTGTACCCTTGTAGCCGTCTCGAGCTCTTAAGACGAACAGCCTGTAACGCTCCACAGTTCATCGAACCCCGGCGCCGCCGCGGACCTCGCCTCGCGGCCCTCGATTGAAAACCCAAGCGGCGAATGTGCTGAATGGGGGTCCATCGGCGGCCCTCGCAGTACGAGATCTCGGACGGCAGCGACGGCCGGTGATGTGTTAGGAGAGCCTTAGTGCGGACTGTGTTGGTGTCCCAGGCCCCCCCCCCCCCCCCAGCTCCGACGGGCCCGAGGCGCGGCTAGCTGCTGAACTTCACCGCAGCGCCGCCCGCGGGGGGACAGGAGAAGGAGTAGGAACAGGAAGGAAGGAGTTTCACACGCCTACCTTCGATCCTCCATCTCCTCCTCAGTCGGGAGCAATCCCAACTGCGTCAGGCGAAAGCCTCACTGGTCCTGATACTCCAGGTCGCTTTCGCGCTAACCGCCGATGGACCTCAGGTGCTGGTACCAGCCCTGCGACCGTTCCTGTTGCGGAGCACGTAGCCACCTTCGAGGAACTCAGTAGACCAGTGGCGGCACAGCCGCAGACGCAGTGCCCCAAGGTATCATCGTATGAGACACCACGCACGCATGGTCCGAGTCGCAGCTCGTCCGCGCGCAACCGTCGTGGGGCCCCAGGCCCATGCGGCGAGAGTAGGTCGAGCCCGCGTGCTGCCTCTCAGAGGCCATGCACTCCCCGTGACAGGGGGCACAGGGAAGCTGACGCTCTCCACCTCTCCATCTCAGACGACCAGCTGGCGGAAACGTCCGCCGCAGGTGAAATAGCTGAGCTCAGAGACCAGGTTGAAACCTTCGTGCCCAGGCAATACTCTGGACTACTGCAGAGCGTTCAGACGAACGCCGCCGATACTGCAGCCATACGCCACGATCTGGACGGCGCCTTAGGGATCATTGATTCCAGGATCGCCGAAGATCGACGTATCATAGGTGAACTGAAGTACCAGGTTGATCGTGAGGTGTCACACTCAGGTGAACGAGCGGCGATGGTCGAGAACCTGCGCAACTACCTCGCGCAGATGGAGCAACAGCTTGTGCTCGTACGCGACACAGGCGTTTCAGCAGTCAGGATTTTACAGGATGAAATCCACGACCAGCTCCGCAACCGACCAACACCAGCCGAGGCCACCGACCTTGGCGACGTTCAGTCTCAGATCAATGATCTTCGGTCTTATCTAGACCACACACTACGGCGACGCTTCGCATGAAGCACACGCCAACTCGTCGAACCTGATCGACCTGTTGCAGCGTACTGAAAGAGTCATCACTCAAAGGCTTGATGCGACCAACGCTGTCGTGCAGCCACTCGCTAACCGGATCTCTGACATCGAGCAGCGTTTTTTCCTGGTGTGCAGGACGCCCTGGCAGAGTTGCGTGTCGGACGAGCCCAGACTGATCAGCTGGATTCTCCTCCCACGGTTTACGATTTCGCCCGCCTCACTGACAGGCTGCAGGAGGTTGAGAAGGCGGCGGACCACACGCAGTTGGAGCTCTCCCAGGTTATTCGTGAAAGAGATACTGAGAAGGTACGTGTAGAGAGTCACCTCGCACGTCTGGGAAGCGAGCTGGAGGCGCAAAGCGCCCGTCTCCGAGCATACGAGCAACGACTTGATCGGCATTCACAACGTTCTCGGGATACTGATGAGTATACACGCCAAAAGGTGACACAAATACACGAAGACATGACGAGCTGGACGAATCAGCTAATCGACCACACCAACGACACCAATCTCCACCTTCGACCTGCAACCGACCTGCACAGGCCGACGGCAGCGTCCGCCGAAGCACCACAAGCTTCTGCAGGACAACAACGACGTACGTCACCAGGAGCAGCCTCCGCGGCAGCTTCTGCACAGACACGCCATGTGTCTCTTGTGCGCACAGAACCAACTACTGACGGTGCACCGATACCCTCACAACCACTGTCTGCGGTTTCGGTCCATACTACAACTCCTATCAAGGAGTCAGACACCGTCCGAGTCCCTGTCTTGCCTAAGATCACGCAGCTGCTCGAGTGGCAGCAAAAGGTACGGAAGAACTTTGGGGCCGCCTCAGGGCGACCATCCAAAGCATAAGCCTTCCTATGCGTGGCTGAACAGCCCGAATGTACATTCGAGGACTTACAAGACAGTGGAGACTTTGAGAGCATCGATTGCAAACTCGCTACCGCTCTGAGCGACATATTATCCTCAGACTTGCGCTACCAAATCAGGCTCATCGAAACCAGAGAGCACAAAGCAGGACACATGCTCAAAGGACGCCAGATTTACTGGCACATCCTACAGTCCTACAAAGTGACAGAGGTTGACGACGACCTGCACGATTTCGAGCGCCTTAAAGAACTGAGGATGAGAGATGACGATTTGCAACGTTTTATTACTGACTGGGACGCTTTACTCTTGGAGTGCCGAGAAGCACCCGATCCAAAGATCCTGGAATCGC